ACAGGTGCTTTGTGAGATAAATACTTCTAGGTTCTCTATTCTCAAAAATTCTTTCCGGATCGTTTACCTGCCCACCAAAGTGACTTGAATTTCAGGTTTGAAATAAATCGTTGATATTTTCATCAGCGTTATTACTTGAAATTATTGTTATTATTATAAAGTCCGTGAATCAATAATCAGCAAGTGAACATCAGTCGGCTGAAAGTTATTTAAAAATAATATCACAGTTTTCGTTGGATTGGAATAAAGAAAATAGTTGAACAAATCGACTGAATAAAAAAGTGAGTTATTCAAGTGCATCATGTTTCTTGCTTCCTCAATTTCATTAATTTGATCATTTATCAACTTAAATCTTTTTTAATCTCATTACGATCCTTTAATTTCTGCTTTCCCAATGTTGCTGTGTCATTTTTGTTGTGTGAATTTCTCTGATATTTTTTCGACATGATTCTATATCTCCTGTCAATGCTGCATTTTCTGTTCTTGCTTCCACCATTATTCGATTGATCCAGGCCAGTAATCCTAACGCTCCACAACCCCTTCGATATTTTTCTCGTGAATGCTTTCCCGGTCTTGAATTAAATGAAATGAAGTGAATGTCTCACTTATGATGCACGCTATCCACCTCTCGATCTTGCTCCTATCATCTTACAATCATCCACCTACTGCATGCAAATTTTGCAAGAAAATGAGCGAATGCAAACATAAAATTCCTGAGATCTTTACTCGTTCTTAGAGAATTCAGAACACTTGATCCTTTGGAAGAATGCTCGGAATAGATTCTAAAACGATGCATGCGTGCGATTTCGGAGACGTCTAACATTTCAATGCAACCAGAGAATATTGCCATGCTCCTGTTATTCCTGAGATCATGTGATCATAAAGTTGTACGTATTCCTTGCGTTGCCAAATGACATTTCTGCTAAATTACATCATTACCTGAGAATCGTAATGAAGTGCTGTATTGTGATTATTCATTCTAAATTGCATTACTCTTTGTAAATGTTGGCTACCGCAAATTTTGAATTTTTTGAACGATTGGGATGAGTACGACGACATTAAAATGTGTAGTTTCCAGGAGAAATGGATGGCCAAGATGGAAGAAGAAATGGCCGAGCTAGGGCACCGACCGTAAGAGTCGGAGATTTTGCGGCTTTGGGGGAGTTTTCTCCCCTATTGGGGCGATATTTTGATCGTCTCCTATTGCTAATAGGAGTACTCGTTGCACTGCCCACCCCGCAGATGGTGGCGCAGTACATAGCGGAACATTGGGCCGACTTAAGAAGATTCTGTCCCCGCCATTTGGGGAGAGAATACTTTGGTAAATACTCCATTCTAATAACATTGTTAAATATATTTCCTACTTTCAGTTTCAGTTTTAAATGAAATAGTCATTTAACTGATGATATACACAGGGAGGAAGAGATGGTGATAACAGCATATAAATTAAGATTTTAACGAGAGCATTAAATTGCAATTGAAAAGTGAAAATCTGAGTGAGCAATAATGTGGAAATGGGAACTGAGTGATCGTCGATCGAGGAATTATACTGTTTTGGTGTGAATAATGAGAATTTTTTAGCTGAGAGTAAACANTTGGAGATGCCGGACCGAAACTACTCGGTCTCGGCAATGATCGTCGAAGTGGTGTGTCGCGTGACACACATCCAGCTGCTCATCCATCGCAATGATGGGGGCAGCTGGACGTTTGGAAACGGTGGCCCGATATGGCAGGTGGCCAAAACTGAGCATGGGTACGCTGCCTTAGAAATACCGGCCGCGACGCCGGTGAGCACTTCTGAATATTTTCATAGATGACATATTTCGCTATCAAATCAGCATAACGAATGGTGATCAATGCAGTTAGCAATTTTCATTCACTCGTATGAGTGAAAATAATAATTCTTCAGGGAAGAATTACCTACTTTCGATGCAGAAAAATGAGCATTGCATATTCACATTTTTAAGTATCAAATGCTGCTGCTCCAAATCATTGTCATTAATCTGACAAGTTTATGAATGAATCTTCTCTGAAATGTGTATCATATAATCAAGATGATCAATTTAGGCCATAACTGATAATTAATTTCACAAATTAAG